CATATAATTTGAGCTCATTTAAGCAGCAAAATCACCATTTTTCCTCTCAAATACAGTTTAACAATTTTTTTTACAAGCGTATAAAAAAGATCATATTGTTAAATTTGTGGAATCACGGAAAATTGTTGTTTCGACTTTTGCTGACTTATATTCTGTTGAGTTGAAAAAAAGAAAGGCAAGAGCAAATGGAATTTGCACGACATTACGTGGCGACGATATAACGGACTAAAATGGTTTGTTGTGGAAAATTTTCTCCTTCTTTCAGTTACCTAATGAGTTAGCTCACGTGTACTTGATTGAGCTGTTTTTCATAATAAAAATTGTAGTTTTTAGGCAGCTTAAACGAAAAGTGTGATTCACGAGACCTTGATTCTCATTTACTAATCTCATGTTTTGGGGACTTTTTTTAAAAAATTTGTGTGCGAATTTTTGTCAACACGAGTTAATAATAAAATTGTGAAGTAATTTCGTTTTAAAAATTTCCTGATAAGAAATTAATGAGGCAAATCAAAACGAAGTCATTATTATTTTTTGTTCATTTTAAATGGACAATTTGTGATATTGCATGATCATTTTTTGTGATGGAATATTAAAACCTACTTACTGGTTATTACACTGCATTTTCTTTAACAAATTTGTACTTTTGGTACAAATTTACTATTCCAAGTTATTGACTGGAAAGGCATAAAAATTTAAAATCCAATTACGGTTATATATTACATAGAAAAATTATTTATTGAACAGACATCATTCAAGTGTAGAAATCAATAATTACAAAAAAAGTCAATAACTATACATTCTTACAGCCGGTTCTACATTCTATTTCATTTCCGTGAATATTTACCGCATATCGTGTTACTGACACTAATGTGAAATTAATGTTGAGGCTTATGATCATTCAAGCTCAAGTATAACCTTTTCAATTACCAAAAAATGTCAAAAAATTTTTTTAGCATTGTATATAGAGAATGCCCAATTGCAGTCATTTTTCAGCAATTATAATGTAATGCTTTCTTTTATGAAATTTCTTCAACAAGTTGTCGTGAAGAAAATCTCAAGACACACAAATGAGAACAATTCACCTCATTGTACCCGAGAGAAATCATTTGTACGGAAAAGTTCAGTCAGAATATTTGCTGAGAAAGTAAAAATGTAAATCAAAAGTAAAATGAATTCAGTTGTAATTTTTCAAAAGAGACGTGAAGAACAAAAAATCTCAGTGATTTGTTATCATTTTAATTATTTATTTAACTGAATTTTTATAAATTCTTAATGGTTTTAAAAATAACAAATGGTTCAACTGTCTAAATATGGCTTTGTATTTTGAGCAAAAAGTGTACATTTGGGTTCAAATTTAACTCAAGAGTAAAAGTTTTCTAATATTTAATATTCAAAATTCTTGTGAGATTTAACAAAAAAAAACATAATTTTCAACAATTTTGACACTTAGTGTTAAATATTCATATCAACGACATTAAAAATGCAAAAGATATAAAATTGTTATTTTTAAAGATCATTCAAAAAATGATTTCTGTCAAACTATATTTAACTTAGCTTAACATTAATTTGCAAGTCTCAATAGCCATTCAATCTATTAAAATTCAAAAACTATAAATATCATTGTTACTTTTACAAAATTTAAATTTGATATTGGTTTCTGCACAATGTATTGATAAAATTTGCATCAGGAATGGAAATTGGTTAAACGGTCTTTTTATCATTGCATAAATCTTGTCTATTGACAACTAATACAGACAAACCAAACTTGTGCAATACCAAAATGTTGAATAACATCAGACCATTGAAAGTGCATGATTAAATCGATCAAAAAGTCACTAACCTCAACATAATTAATTGAGAATTAGTTGAGATTTTTCTGTTAAATGAATTGAATTTACAGTAATAATTAAATCAGTTACTTGCTTGTTTTGTAGCAGTAAGTGTGTCTTAAAAATCAACAGGTTGATTTTAAAAATAAACCACAAGCACATTTGTAGAAAAAAAGAATATTAGTTGAAATTATTTCAGCAAAAAGTTTGCAAATCAACAGTCATGAAAACTGTTTCATGACAGCAACTTCTGATTTCGATTTCATTTTAATAGTCGACACAAAAGTAGCAAATTTGCGATATTTTTTTTATGAAATTGAAGCAAATACGTTTGTGAATGTGCTATCAGCAGTATTTTTGCTATTATCAGCACAGCATTTTCATACAATTCACTTAAGAAGCTCGATTGTGTTGCCAAGTTTTGTATTTGTAGAATTATAATACTTCGTGCACAAATTGTTGATTTTCGAAGATGTTTAAGCGTCAGGACTAGAATTGGTTGCACTTATCATGCTTCCTGGATTGATCCCATTAAATTCACAACATTTTTTTAAAAAACTTTAAAATTCCTAATGTGTCGTTTTTGAGCGATAAAGGTTGTTAAACAAAAATTTGCATACAAATAAATGAAAGTTAAATGAAATGCATTTGCTTTAAAAAAGCTCAAAAATTCCCATTTATTAAATTTTTTCCTTTCCAACAGAGCTGATAACAAAGTCACAATACTTACCTCAGTTACAAGTTCCAATGAAAACTTTAGTTCAAATTGTCTACGTGCAATTGATAGCAAAAACTTATTTACTGGGCGACACAACATTTTAAAGACAAAAAAAAATTATTAAAAAGTGCGATAAAGTTTTGTAGACTAAAAAACCCATAAATACATTCATTTTTTTTAATTAAGCGTTTACAAACGAAACAGAATTTTACTAACACTTGAAAACGCTTTAAACAAGTGAAACGACAGCGAAAATGGAAATAAACAGTCGCTATTGTGAAGTGTCCACGTATGCAGCATCATCAAGCGGTTATAATTCGAGCACGGCAAGCAGTAGTCTTAATTATATAGACGACGTTTCTGACCATCAAACAGTGATTGACAAAAATAACGAAAAAATTAATAGCACAATTTGTGAGGAAATTAATTGCTGTACTATAATCGACGAAAAGAGTGAGAGTAATATCGATTTAAGTGACAATCAACAGCCTGTTACAAAATTAATCATTACAATAACCTTGAAGAAGACTGAGCAGGTATAATAATTAGCGTATATGTAATTAACATATCATAATTCGAGTGGGAAGAAATTGATACAATTTTATAATGATTTAATTATGCGATAATACTGAAGATTACCAAAATTAAATTTAATCAACGGTCTTTAATTTTTTTGTGATGAAAGATATAAAATTCTTTTATTTAAATAAGCTGAATATGGTGAAATTATAAATTATATTATTCAGTTATTGCTCCTTTAAAATGATTATTTTCTGAATATTTCACGCTTGCAAATTGGACTTAATTATTCAACTTAGCTGATTAGCATTGGTATATAAATTTTTAAACTATTAACTCATAGTAAATCCTCTGATAACATAATGAATTCATTTTGTTGTGTACAAACAACTGTTTCTAATCGAATCGGTATTACTAATTTAAAAACAAGTATTACACATGAGCATCATAAACACAAAAGTGCAAGTAAAAATCGAGAATAGCAAAATGAATTTCTATGAAAATTTTAAAATTTGTTAAATTGGAAATGGAGTAATTGGAATTAATTATTTCCAATTTTTTAAATTCAAACCTTAATTTATTATTTTAAAAAAGAAGAAATTGTGAATATCATTTAAACATTGATAACACTAAACGTATAATTTAGCATGTATTATTAAACAAAAGCCTTTAAATTCTGATGAAATCAATTTAAAATAATGAAAGTTTTTTTTCGAATTTTCTCAAGCTTCATTTGTTCAAGGTGTGCGGTTTAAAAATAAACTAACCATATTTGCAGGTGTTTACTTTCATTCGTGAGCTTTTCTTATCAGCTCGTCTAATTATAATCTAACACATCGTTTTGAATCTTTCTGTTGTATTCAAACCCGCTAATTTTCTTTTATTAATTAATCTCTTAAGCCATTTAACATTTTCTTAATGGTTTAGGAATATAATTGGTAATTGATAATTCGTTAAAATTTCAGCTGAAATTCATGAAAATAACTTTTAATGAAATATTTTTATATGAAAGCCATGAACATTTTGTGTCTGCATTTTTTGCTTAAAAGCTCGTTACGCAGTTGATTATCTATGATTTTTTATATGTTAGACTGAATGCTCCATTTAGGTCCGTCTCTAATGCTTGCATTTATGAGCATTATATGCTTTTCTTGATTTTTTTTTCTTATTGTGTTAACAGAAAGTAGATCAATCTTGTAATAGTTAGTAGCTTATTTCCTCATAATAAGACCATAAAAAGTTTCTCCCTTTATCCACTTTTTACTGTTTCGATTTTACGCAGCGGTAAAATCACACTTTGAAATTCTCAAGAAAAAAATGAGCAATAATAAAATGATTTTTAGTTGCCACGATTAAATACCTTTTATTTAAAGCTAATTGAAGGCTACACGATAATAAATGTATGCAGTGTACTGCATGGTTATCACACTTAATATTGTTATTTAATTTATCAAAAACTCAGTTTTTTACCGCTTTGCGTTTACCGAAAAGAGTGACGATCAGAATTTATTAACGACATTCCTATAGATTTAATTTCATTACCTGTGTTCAAAATTTAGAATCTAAGTTCACAAACACAAAACTTTAAAGTATCTTATCAAAAATCTTGTAGCAATAAAAACAGTTTTCAATTTCCTCTCACAAAAAATTTTATTTTATAAAAAATATTTACACAAATGTGAAATACAGAACAGCTTTGATGACGTTGCTATATTGACACAAAACGGAAATATCAGAGGCTTTACTAGGGACTTTATTTAACTTTTAAAACATACAATAATACAAATAATTTTTTTTTATGAACAACAGATAACCGTTTAAATTAAAATAAACTTAAAGTTGCATGTCCTTCTAAAAGAAAATCCAAATAGGGGATGAACATTTAAAAATAAAATAAATTATTTAATAAGTTTAAATTTTTTGATTTATTTTAGATAACTGCCAACGGAACAGCTCCACAATATTACAATCCAATAGCAGGATATCCACCAACAAATCAAGCCAGCTCAACAAATCAATTATATACGACAATGAATCATCAGCAAGCTCAACAATTGTCACATTCGCCATCACCTCCGAATAGCACAAATAACAACAACAGCAACTCTAGCAACAATAACAATAACTCGATAAATAATATTAATTATCAAAACAACGAGAGGGCCCAGCGACAATATAACAAGTTAATACGAAAATTGGAATCACGCAATACGACAAGTCAAGTTCATTCCCAAGCATCAAGAATCAATAATAGAAATGACAATCTCAATGGCTCTAGTGGTACTCGTAGAAATAATTTACAACGAAATGGTACAAACTCTGCTGGTGGTGCTTCATCAGTAGGAACAAGTGATGATGGTGAAGAATCATCGAGTGTACCAGATGAGGAGGATGATATGCAAATTCTTATTGACTATTTATCATCAATTGAACCACCAGTGGTTAAGGAAATTCAATCGCATACAGCACTTGTTACGTGGGAAGCTCCACCACAACCAACTGAAAATGCCTTAGTCAATCTCAACACCAACGATATCCGTTATGAAATTCTATTGGGTGATCGTGGAAAAGATGGCAAATACAAATCAATTTTTCGTGGTACAAATCTTTCATGTCGCATACAGGATTTGCGTGCAGGACAAGAATATCATGTGTGTCTTAGCGCTCATTTGGATGATGTAAAGGGATCAGAGACTGAACCAGTGGTTTTTAAGACACCGGCACGCGAACCTGACACACCAACGCAACCTAAAGTTCTTGCAAAGACCAAAAGTTCTTTACAATTACGATGGAATGCACCAGTCGATAATGGTTCACATATAATTCACTATGTTCTGGAAATGAGTAACGAACCAGATGGTGAATTTACAGAGTTGTGTAAAATTAAGGGTAAACAATTTACAGTTAACAAATTAACACCAGCAGCATGGTATACCTTCCGCTTAGCGGCAGTTAATGAAGTCGGACGATCAGAGTATTCGCAACCAGTTTCATATAATACAGACGGATATCCACCACCTCAACCACTACCTCCACGAGTTCATAATGTGACAACAACATCAATTGCATTACTTTGGAGTCGAAGACGTGAAGATGGTGAATTTATTCTACAAATGTCAAACCAAGGCCCGCAAGGATACATGAATGTTTATTATGGACCAGAATTAATTTATGAATGTACACGACTTCAACGTGCAACAAGCTATCAATTTCGTTTAGCATCTAAGACTGATGCAGGACAATCTACATGGAGTGATGAGATATCAGTGGTAACACTTCCTGATCAACCGGGACGTCCATCAAAGCCTCAAGTAAAAGGAAAGATCCATGCATATAATTTCAAAGTGAAATGGGATCCTCCACATGATAGAGGCGGTGCAGAAATTAAATGTTATCATTTAGAAATCAGTTCGGGTGCAGTTTATGAACGAATTTATAGTGGAACGTTAGCAGAAGCTGTATGTGATCGACTTAGTCCGGGTACAACGTATCAAGTTCGTGTATTGTGTGAGGGACCTGGTGGCGTAAGTGGACCATCTGATACGTCAACAATTACAACAGAAGCCATCGTTCCAAATCCACCTAAAACTCCGTACTATAGTAATCTACCTGGACCATATGCAGCAGTGCTGCAATGGGATAAACCACATTATCAAGGAGGAGCTCCTGTAATTGAATATGAACTTGAATTAGAAGGCATTCTTAATGAAGGGAATGCGGATAGAAAAAAGCAAAAAACAATTGTTTATCGTGGCAAGGAGCCATATTGTGTTGTTAAAGATCTCCTTCCTGGAGAATCATATACAACTCATGTACGTGCTGTGAATCGTATTGGTGCTGGTGAATGGTCTGATGAATTTTCTTTCCGTGCTGGTTCAGCGCCACCTGGCAAACCTCTTTCTCCTGAAGTTCAAGTGCGCTCAGCAACAAATTTACTTGTTAAATGGCAAGAACCTTTATGCAATGGTGCACCGATTATTGACTATAAGTTGGAAAGTTCATCGAAACAAGAGGACGATGGATTTAATATTGTATATCATGGCACAGAAATGAGTGCTGATTTGAAGGATCTGTTGCCATTCACCACTTACTTTTTCCGTCTTCACGCTGTCAATGCTTCTGGTCGCAGTCCAAACTCAACAACTGTTTCTCAACGAACACCGGCTGATGTGCCTGGTATTCCAACACTTTTGCCCGATCTGTTTGCCATTACATCAAATACAGCACACTTCTTTTGGAAGGAACCGGAGTCAAATGGTGATGCAATAAATAAATACATACTAGAATGTGGTGATCGTCAATTGGAGACAGATAAAAATCAAACTGATCTCCTGATTGAGCATTTAAGTCCAGAGCAAATGTATAAAATTAGAGTACAGGCTGTGAATTCGATTGGTGCTGGTGCCTTTTGTACTTCACAAAAAATATTGACAAAACCTTTGCCACCGAAGCCACCTCGATTAGAGTGCATACAACATGGCTACAATTCTTTGAAACTTAAATGGGGTAGTGGCGATGGTGCGCCGACATCAACAATGAGCAAGAGTGCCAATATTATGGACTTCCATCGATTTTATGTTGAAATGAAAATTAAGAGCTCATCAAAAGACTTTCAAAATATTTATACAGGCACACGTAATTCCATCAAAGTACAAAAATTACACGAGTCTACAGATTATGCATTCCGTATATGTGCACAAACTGAGCATGCTGGCATTGGCACATGGTCTGAAGAATACTATTATCGTACTCAAGCAGCACAACCGAACGTTGTAAAGATTCTTCGATGCACTGAAAACTTTCCTCTGATAAATAACAATGCAAATGAGTCACATATTGATATATTACCAACACTGACAGTTGAATGGCAGCATAGTAAAAATAATCACTTTAATGATAGCGTTGAATATATCCTTCAAAAGGCAACTTCTGCTGTTAGTAATAATAAGAATCTTCAATATGAGGAGGTGAATATTTTTCTGTTGCTTATTTTCAAGAACTATCAAGATTTCCTGATACAATACCAATATTTTTAACACTTGCAAATTATTATTTTTTAGGTCTACCGAGGTGCCGATACCCGTTTCACAGAAACAGTTGAATACGACACCGATTATAGTCTCCGCGTGATTCCAGTTCGAGTAATGAAATCTAAGCGAACGACATCTGTATGCTCATCCTCGACAAGAAATTCACATGATAGTGATGAAGTTGATGGTCGACAGAGTAGCGATGAATCAGATTCTGACGAATCAGATGATGAGGTTAAAAGAAGAATAAACGATACACCAGTAACATACGAATATGTGCTTGGTACAGCATCTTCCGCTTATCACTATAGATTGCCAAAATCATCAGAAGTTCATTCAGTCGCAGCAAATTCAACAATAACGACAGCTTCAAGTCAATCGACAAATGCATCTAGAAAAGTTACAAAATCAAGCGTAAGTGCAAAGTCATCACAATCACAAGTCAATGTTTCGAAAAAACATCATCACATGCAGCAGAGCCATAAACCATCAAATGTAGAGACAGAATTAAATTCAGTTGACTCATCGGATGATGAGAAGCCAGCGGAAGTGACAAGTGCAAAGCAAAGTTTGTTCCTTAATCTACTCAAAGCCATTCGTGAATTTTTCTATAATCGTAATAATTGGTCGGTGACTCAAGAGAGCATATTCATTTGGCTTATTTTCATGATCTTTGCAATTATTGTCGGAGGCATTCTCCATTTCATCATGGCGTAAGCATAACAACTTATAAATTAAAAAAAAAAACACAAAAAATAATAATTAAAAAAAAATATAAAAAATGATAAACATAAAAATAATTATTATTAAATCAAATTTATTCTGAAAAAAAAAATCAATCGATATGTGTAGCTCTAAAAATTTATATATAAATTAAAAGCTTTTACGAATGATGATGATGATGAGAATAAGAAGGAAATCGTAGTATATGATGTATACATATAACAATCAGAATTTTTATGTGCAGGTTTTTTTCGAAAGAAGATTGATAAGGAAATCCTTTTGTTTTTACATGAGAAACTTTTTGTGCATTATTTTTTACATATATATTTTAAAAATATATTCTTCTTACTTATATATATGGATCATGTATGTTATTATATACCTATAACTAAAATGTTTCTATTGTCTTGATTTATATTGTGTCTCTAAATAAAATATTTTATTATTATTATGATTGTTTTATTAAAAAAAAATTATACGAGATAAATGATTGAGGAAATAAAGAAAATATCGCAGATTCATCTTTGTTTAATGAAAAACGAGTTGAAAAAGTTGATTGATATGTAATTAAATGAATGAGAAAAAAACTATTATTATGATTACAATTATGTGTATGTAGGGTATATGCAACAAAAAAATTATACATTTAAAGTCATAAAAAATGTTAAAACAATTTAATTTTTATTATTGAAAAAAATTACCTATTTTTTGGGATTATATTTACCTTCTTTGCTGAGGGTTAGTTGAAATTAAGTGAGGATTGTTTCTTGGTTGATGAATTACAAGATTCTGAAAATTTGCATTTAATTGAATTTTTGCATTTGTAAACTTGTGGTATTAAAAAATCAACGTTCATAACATTTTTTTTTTGAAAAAGTCAAAAATTCATACAAAACCGTTCACTTAAAGATTATTCAAAAAAACATTCAAAGAACAACCTGATTAATTTCAATTATCTTCAGTTTATTCTTTACAACATTTATGTGCATTATAAGTTCTGCTTTTTGCAAGAAATCAATTAATACATAAAACTTAAATAGAATTTAAACAAAAATGGAAAACAAAAAAAGATGAGAAAAATTATTTTAAAAATTGGTCCATGCATCGCGATATGAGAAAAATGAATTTACATTCCATAATGAGATAATATTAATTGAATAAATTATTTCTACCAGGTAAAAGGAACTCATCACCCTTCACAGAAAATAATGAAATATACAGATACGAAGCTCTTAAATTAGAATTTATGACAATTTTTTTTTATTATTTTCACACACAAATACACACATACACTTACATAAACATTCAAAATGAGGAATTTTATAGCTCAATTGTTATACGATGTGAGAATCAAAACATTTTTTAAAAACATTTATCGACAGTATTCAATATTTTTTTTACATTTTAATGATTTTTTTTATGTCAACGACTTTATTACGTTTATTAGTTGAATTTTTATATGATTTTAAATACTACAATTATGATTTTCACTTTTACATTCATGTCTTCCTTTAAATATACATGTTCTAATCTAAATAATTTATAAAAAAAATTGGTAGACATAACATGACATTTTGAGATAGACATGGTCTATCAAGATTTAAAATTTTAGGTCTTGTTTTTTACATAAACCTGAGCAGCAATAGACATTATAAGTCTTGAATGGTGGCTTTAATTAAAAAAAGAATATAAATATTAAAAAATTTCGAAACTTTGGAATTAACTCTCTAATTTTTATAAGTCATTTCTAGGACACCAAAAATTATAGTCAAAATTACGGTCGAATTTTTTTGGAAAAAAAAATTATAAATAAAGTTGAATAGCCATTTTTTTAATTTCTACTAGAGGACCTAAAATGTATTCCAAAAAGTTTTTATTTTGAAAACTCATATACTTTAAATTCATCAAGTTATATCCCAATGTCATAATATTTCAAACACTTCATGACATTTTGTGAAATTAAAAAAATATTAAAATGTTCAATGAAATAAATAGAAAAAATATTTCTCAACTTCTAGATGACAAATGAAAAGAAATAGAATCATAAAAAGTAATTCCAATATTCCAATAGCACTTAACAAATTCTTTGAAACAAGTACATTTATTCAACATACTACTTCCTCATAGATGAAAATAAAAAATTTGCAATAAAAATAAATTTACATTCAACAAAAAATAGCAAAAAACGAAACAAAAAAAAATACTAACAAATCGTTACCTGATGATGCATAATAGAGAAATGAAAAAAAATGAATTAAAAATAATAGAATTTAAAAAAAAATTGTGTGTAATGGAGAAAAAAAATCAAATTTAAATGTATTTCTAACACGTTCCGATTCAAATGAAACATGCTGAAAGAATAATAAGAAAAAATTTGAAGCAAAAAATCTTTTATGCACTCTCATGATTTACATACTTATAATTATTATTATTATTATTATTATTATTACTATTATTATTATTATCAATAAAGTTTATTATTTTTGAAAGTAAAATATAAATGCTTTGAATTTACTAATATGACAAACACGGATACTTTTAACATTTTTTGAATTTTTATATTTTTGTAGATCAATGGCAAATTTCACATTTTCAAAAGTTGATTGTATTGAAATTTTGATTGAAAGATTTGAAAGCAATCACGACAAAATTAATGATTCTGTCCAAACAATTTCCAAGGTAATTGAATTATTACTTATTTCCAATGCTAATATTTACAGCGCAAATTTCATATCTATAACTGTCTTCATGGTTTTTTTGATTCAAAATTTTCATCTTAAGTTTCAAATTGTTTCCAAATTTTCGTATCTAATGGTCGTTTGGATATTAATGTACAACATTCAGTAGAAAGTTAAGTTTAATGATAATTATAAATTTTCAAATCTTATTCCAAATCTTTCAATAATAATAATCGACATGACCTAATTATCTTATCCTTATTGTCAGAAATTATTGTTTTTTAAATTAAATTTAAATTTTAATTTTTTATTTATTTATTACTCGCAAGGAAAAGCCAAATAAAAAGTATTTAAACTATTTCAGATGGCATAAAAACCTTACTTAAACTTTTTAATTGAAAATTGATAAAGATTTAAAACTATATTTAAAAAGTTATACAACAAATTAAACTTATCATTTAACAACCATGTAATAAATTAGATACAGCACTTAAATAAATATACTCGCAGATACCAAACATAGAAATTTATATAAATGATAGCTTTATCCTAAAAACAGATGCACATTGGTAGGCCCATGCATTTTTCATTTCACAATTTTTTAACTTTAGAACAGCTTTTTACAAAATTTGAATAGAAAAATTAAAAAAGTGTAATAACAATAATCATAACAACTAAAGCACAAAAATATAGTACATATTAAAAGTTTGCGGATTCCTGTGCTTTTCTACATGAAAATTGTACTTTACAATTGTTTGCGTTTTGTTTTACCTCGTGAACTGTTTTGGCTTTTTTTTTTATTTGGTTTTATAATAGTTTTCTGTTGTTTTAAATGTTTCTATTTTCAAGCAATTTTAATGAAGCTAAAATTAACTGATATTGTCATTGAAATAAGAAAAATATTAAAATAGTATTTATGCAAATGTTTGTATTTCCTGGTTTCTGCAATAAAATTGTATTTTTTGGTTTTATAAAAAAAATCAAATTATAGTTCCATGATTGTTCACAAATGGTTTCGAAAAATAAAAATGAAGTGACGAGATAAGGAAAGAAAGAGACATCAAATCTCCAATTAAATGGTCTTTAATTTTTTAAACTGGTGCCAAAAATTCTTGTCACTGATTAATTCATTTTGATTATTAACATTATTTTATTTTTGATAAACGTTATTTGTGACTCTTAAGGAAGCTATTAAATAAGTCAAGAAATAAAATTACGATTTTACGTTCAAAGTAAGAAATTTTCATTATATTTTCAAGCAACCACTGAATTATTAACATTACGAATAAAAACTGTAAAAAAAGGATGCAAACTAAAGCTTTAGTCACAGCTCTTTATTATCACTGTATCCATACTTTTTGATTGCAAAGAAAACAAAAAAGAAAAATTGATGAAATGAAAAGAGTTTGTACTACAATGAGAAGAATAACAGTATATTTTTATACAACGATAGTAAAATAGATTAAAATTAAAACCTCCAAAAAAAAAAATTAATGTGGATAGATTTTGTAATACTGTCAAAATGTGTCAAATGAAGATGACACAATATTGTGTACTAAATTTATATAAACTCAAGAAATTTTAATGAAATATAACTTAATATAATTATTTAAACAAAAATACGAAAGAAAAATTGGTAAAAGCACATGGACATGACGTCTTTTGATTAGGAATTTTTTTTTACATCTATACGTTAAAATAATATAGACAGAATGATGAGGAAAAAAAAGGATAAATGGAAAATTAGTGAATTGAGTTGATTAATGAATGAATGAAAGAAATTTACATGATGTAAAATCGATCGATAGCTTTGATATGGGGTTTTGTTTAATCATGACATAAATATAATATGTGTATGTATGTTAATATTATGTGTTATTCACAGCATAAACGTTTCTATTTCCATCCATTTTTCCACATATTATTCATATAACATTTTTTAATGAATGAATAGCATGAAAGATATTGAACACATCGGTTAAGAGCATTATTAAGAGACGATAGATTGAATTTAATTTAGATAGGATCTTTTAATCAATTAAATAATAAAAAAATAATTAAATTGCATGTTTATTACTGTTAAAATAAAAATTTATGATAATACATAAACTAAAATAAAAAATGAAAAGGAAATTGCTAGAGAAAATTTGCTAAAATATGAGATCCATATAATGAAAAAAAAATTAAAATAAATATATCTAGAGGGTGCTAAAAATTATACAAAACTGAATATTTACGGACAAAAAAAGTTTTCACGTGACAAAAAAAAATTGAAGCTTGACATCAAAACAAAACTAAAAAGATGAGTTTAAAATGAAGTTTTTATTATTTAAACACAATTATTCAAGAATTGAAAACTTTAACTTAAAATACGATCGTTGAGATACATCCAATAAAAATGTCTGTTTAGTTTTATGCTACAAAAATTTTATAAACTTTATTTTTGTATGGGGTCCAGATCAACGAGTTTACAATAATAATAAGTCAACAACAAATAAAAGAAAAAATAAAATTCTGAGTCAGTTTTGTTAAGTGGCAATTAGTGCTCAATAATACTACAAAAGTTATTCGTTCTCTTTTCATTTTCGTTTTCCATTTTGATTGAAATGTTGAGACCGGAAATAACATAAAGCTCGACATTTTTGTTACCTCTCAACATTTGCATTTTCTTTTTCGTTCTCATCGTACGCTGCTTTTTTTTTCAAAACTTACTACTGCTATTGAAACAAAATTCATTCCTTTTTGTTT